AAATGCGACAAAGAATGAACTACCGTTGTTTGTACCAAAAATAACAAACGCTTTAACTCTATTGGAATACGTGGACCTAAGCTGCTCTAGCTCTTCCAGTGATGTTGTAGATACCTCAAAGCTTAGAGGAAACAAGAGCTAAGAAAAATGATTTGCAATGGTTCCTCCTAAGATACATTGGACTTGAACGTCGCTTCAACGACCTTCTGAAGTCTTCGTGAAGTCGGTCATTGCTTCGCATGCAATGGAGAACCCGCGTAGAACACAGAACAATTATTTCTATCAGGGAGGGGAGTCTCGTGGTATTAAAGAAAAAGTTATTTGTTTTTTCATTTTTAAGATAAAATTCTCTTTCTATAACGATAAATATTTGATTGACATTTAAAAGCTATTTTATAAAGATTTTCAATTTCTCTTTGCGTTTTAGCTTCGATTTTTCGGATAGAATAAAATGACAGGCAGCCTACTCCACTGGGTCGAGTTTTGCTGTGCAAATTCCTCCCGTCGGAGGGTTATGTTTACAACATAAGCTTGTCAGCTTTGCGCTGATTGGCTAGTCGCATTTTCTCAAATCACCCAGATCACATGAAAAATCATTACCATCAGTGAAAACATGATTGTTTTTTGAAGTATAATAATGGTACTTACATAATTTGTTCATATTTCAAAGATCGATACAAACCGACTGAGGAGAGTTCCTCTGTAGGCAGAGCACATAGGCACTCATCATGTGACATGGATTTACCCAGAGTTAGCATGACCGAGCTGGCCTGGAGCGATTGGATTAACGTTAAAGAAATCTACAACAAATCAAGCACAGAATCGAGTAAGAGGAGAAAAGCAGAAAAGAAGGTTGCCGAGCTAGCACGTGAGTTACACATCCTTGAGAACGAGAAACAGCCCTTAGTAAGTGAAAGGATTGTTCAGTTACAGAGCGAATTACAAAGAATCCAACATGAACGAGAAGAAGTGAACAGGGAAAATGTGAGTTTGAAGAACAAGTTGGACGAAGTAGCATCGGAACCGCTTGCAGAACAAGAGCTTCTCAGTAATCAGTTAGATCCTTTGTGGGAAAACAAACCAGAAGAATTGTTAGAGGTATTTCAACATCTGAAGAAACTACCATGGCATAAACTTGATAATGCAAGTAAAATGAATCTCACCTCATGTATAGAAACTATGATGTCTTTGGTTTCTGAACGACTTGTTAACCATCCTGACCTGAACACTGATGTATTGATTCAAGTGATGCAGGAAAATTCCAAGGTATTGCAAGAATTACCATGGTACAACCTTGATAATGCAAGTAAAATGAATCTCACCTCATGTATAATAACTATAATGACTTGGATTGCTGAGCAACTTGCTAACCATCCTGACCTGAGCACTGATGTATTGATTCAAGTGATGCAGGAAAACACTAAAGTACTGGAGAAACTACGATGGCATCAACTTGATGATGGAAGTAAAATGGAACTGATCTCAAATATAGAAACTATGACGACTTGGGTTGCTGAGCAACTTGTTAACCATACTGACCTGAGCACTGATGCATTGATTCAAGTGATGCAGGAAAACACTAAAGTACTGGAGAAACTACCATGGGGCTACCTTAATGGTGATAGTAGAATGAAGCTTATCTCACTTATAGAAACTATGACAACTTGGGTTGCTGAGCAACTTGTTAAACATCCTGACCTGAGCACTGATGCATTGATTCAAGTGATGCAGGAAAACACTAAAGTACTGGAGAAACTACCATGGGGCTACCTTAATGGTGATAGTAGAATGAAGCTTATCTCACTTATAGAAACTATGACAACTTGGGTTGCTGAGCAACTTGTTAAACATCCTGACCTGAGCACTGATGCATTGATTCAAGTGATGCAGGAAAACACTAAAGTACTGGAGAAACTACCATCCGAGAACATTGATAATGGTATT